CGCTGCCAAGCTGAAACTCGTGAAAATTTCACAAACTTAAAATCGTGTCACGAGTAATTTAACATTTCTCGTAGTATTTCATTTCTTAAGCCCGCCAAATTCACGAATCCTATCCAGATTTAATTTCATTAGGGTCTCACATTCGGAATTCTTTAGTTCGTAGTTCTTTGATGAAAAGTCCTGTCACCTATTTTTGAATGGCACGGCGTCCAACGTCTTAAAGTACCAACCTTCGTAATATTGAAACAATTGTGGTTGGATGACTGAACTCTCTTGGAACGTGTAACTCAGTGAAGATCAAAAGTTGTAAAGTTTTCCTTCATAAATAAATGGTGAGTTTACTTTGGAAAGGCACAGAATTAATACAACACCCGATACAACTATCCAAGCGAGAGTTAGATTTGTTCGGAACTAACTGCGATCATCTGAGTATATAAAAAAAAAAGATGTACAAAGATATTATCTAGACATTGAAAGCTTCTCACAGCAGGTGTTTCCATAAAATTTGTGTCATTTCGAGCAAAATTTTGTCTCTTCGAAAAACGCAAAGCTTCGATCTCCATGTATACATAATACATCAGCCATTACCTATCCCGTTTCGATCTATAAACTTTTATTGTTTCTACTCTACTCGGTTCTAACGCATAATGCCCTCGTTGTTTCCGCGTTCGAGCAGGTTTCCCGTAATCTTTTCAAAAGTTACGCCGATATCCACGATCGCTCGAGGCGCGCTCAACTTCTTATTTCCCCGAGCATTCCCGTAGAATCGTTCGGGAGATATTGGCCTATTGCAGTCGAACGGAGACAGCGATTGTTGCTGTATATCAAGATTTAAAACGGTTCTTTGGAAGCATTTCGTGAAAAATCGGGTCCCATTAAACCATTCACCGCCAGGCGAATTTAAAGCGCCTGGGTGGAAAAATATATAATTAATATGTTACAACAGCATCGTCTAAGTTATTATTTTCATAGTAAAAAGTGATATTGAGTATGCTTTTTACACTATATTAAATTATCATTCGTCCTTTCTAATAATTCGTAACTCAAACGGCAATAAAAATATTCGCTGATCAATTGTAATCAACCTAAACTTGTAGCGCAAACTATAAAATAAAAACTTGAGAAATGCGATGAAATGTACATTGTTTTTTTTTTTTTTTAAATTTCCTTTATAATATAAATTCAAATAAATAGTGAAAATTGTTCTTTCCTTCCCAGGAAAGTTATTATAAATATCAAAAGTCGTGAGTATACCAAGTGCTTTAACATTTCAATTTAAGATTTTTCAAAAAGTGGAGGTAATTAATTTGCGCAGTGAACGGCTCATATCCTGTCGGCAGTTTTGGCGCATACAACTACCTCGAGATATGTCGTAGTCGGCAGTGAACGAGTTAAAAGCACGACGGGAACGATGAATCCGATGATGAATGAATCGCTTCAATTTTATGAGACTCGCTGGCTAGGACAGCCCGCGTTGTTCGTTAATTAGCCTGCAACGAGCGAGCGGTTAATTGGGCAGAAGTTAAAACTCAAAAATACAATGAATCGCCCCCGGTAAATTAATTAAACAAGCCAGAACCATATCGGTCGTGTCGCAGGGGAACTAAATGAAATTAACCTCTGATAGAAATTAATGAACAAAAATTGATGCTCTTCGAGCGAGTGGATTCTCCTCGTAAACGCTCGTAAATCTTCTAAAATAGAAACCGACCAGTTAGCGTACGCGGATATAACAAATGTACAATCGCAATTACATAGGGCGTCGTCGTATTCAATTATCGTCCAACGTTTAACGCGCGAACACCAACGACCACGAAACTCCAGAGAGACACAATTTCATCGTAGAATCACTCTGTCGGTTGAAAGGTCACGGTATTAATGTCAATTCTACCCGGCAGCTCGCGTGGCTGATGCCGAAGTAGCGAAGTCATCCTTCTCGATTAATCATCGTATTCATACAGCGACGCGCCAGCTTGTCAATCCTCGGGTCACGGTTAATCACGAAGTTAATAAAGAGCTCGTCTCTACGCGAACGATCGGGCACGAGATTAACATGTAACAGGTTTTCGAACCGGTTCGACTAATTCGACGTCGTATGTAATTGAACTGACTGTAAGAAGCTCTTTACGAGACTCTTCCGTTCCGTTATTTGAGCCGTTCGTTGCACAAATCGATTAACACCATTAAAACAAAATGTTGAGAAATGCGATACCCTTGTTAACCCTTTGCTACCCTATGTCGAGTGAGATGCGACAGAATTGTACTGGAATCAGATAATCTGAACTGCAAAGGATTAAATAGTAATCTTAGGCGCTCGAATGACTGTCAAATTGTTTCTGTATCGCGCGAGACACGAAAACGAGCGAAGACACGACAAGAGAAAAACAGAAAGGCAATGCGATCCAACAGTGAACATTTTTTTTTTTTCTTATTATGCAAACGATTAATAAACTACACATTTCACACATCTAACCAGTCCTATCACTTTCATTTCCATATTTCCATCTCCAACGAACAAACAAGTCGCTCTGACAGACGTTGATAATAGACGGAAAAGCTCGCTACGTTTCCAACGCACCAAGAGCATCCTGTTCCCGTGTTTTCCCGGATGCTCTTCTCACAAAAGGCACAGACGACCTGTACACGGAATATTTAACGACGAATCACTCGTATTTGCTTTTACTTGGGACGCGTGCAATCCGAAATAACGCGCGACCGATGGCGATCCGATGAAACGCGTCGCTGTACGTAGCGATATCGTTTATTTAAACATCGAAATTGGAAATCCGCGAACGAGCACAGGAGGACAGGCTTTATCGTTCGGAAAACGTCTGCTCGCGAGGCGTACCCGATCACCACCGATCGGAGGGAAAAAAAGGGAATCTCTCGCAGCGATGGCCGAGCGGAATTATCGCGGGCGAGGGACGAACGGCGAAAAAGCATCAGAAATGTTTCCAGCGATATCGACTACAACTGACAGAGTTGTGAACGATTGTTCAAGGGGGTTGGTTGTTATCGTCGAACCAGCTCGTCCTACGTGTTACACGACTGATAACAAAAAAGCGTTTGTCGCTTCGGGCACGCTGTAGTTTATTTTTGATCGTGTCCGCTCGCGCGTGATCCTGTACGATGGAATTATGGAGACTTATACACGGTCGGACGATCTGGAAAGGAACGCGATTTTACGAATGTTTTTTAGTAGAACTATTGATTTGCTCGACGAATTTGTTTAGGATGATCAAGAGTACAAAATGGAACGACCACCGAAATTTTAAGATTGAAAATCTATTACTTTTATCGCTTTGAATACAACGATAGTTTTTTTTTTTTAAGGAGAAGTTGCTTTTTTAGGTTTCAAAAATTGATTTCTAAATCTTCTTTTTTTATTTATTGAAAATGTGTGATTTCATTTGAAATGTTACACAGACTTTTAACTGTTTGCAATCGGGATCTTTTTTTCTGGTATCTATCAGCAACTCGAGATGCTTTCTTAGCATTCTATTGCCACGAATGCTAAGCTTAGATTGACTTCGAAGATGAGATCTCTAATTTTGAGATTTGAGAATCAGGTTACCTTTGTCTTACCGACAATCATTTTATTGTCACTTCGAGTTTCAAAGAAATTAAACCTAAACAAATATTATTGCTGGTAGGGTACTTTGGGAATGATTTTCCCAAGAATATAAGTGCTGCAGCACGTTGACGATGAAGATATGATATAAACGTGATGGAAATTTCGCGAACGTCAAAGAAAAAAACAATGCAGCGAGGATACTTCTAATCTTGTTAATTCTAAACCCATTACGAACTAATAACTATTCGTGTCACCGAATGTTTATCGCAATAAGGTAATTTAATGGATCCGTATATTCAGGTGATCGATGTAATTGCAAAGCGTGCATTAAAAAGGACCACTCGTCGATACGCAGTGTAATTAGCATCATCGCGATTAATCCATTGGGCTGATCGTAGTTGGGAACAATGCTGACACGATAATTTGTTTAACGTGTTATTTAATCCCGATAATCGGATGCGTGGCTTGCGCGTTACATACAAGTTATTCGTGTACAAATTCCCGGCGAGCCCAGGCGGAATGTTCCAGCTCAGCTGAATAATAATGAATCCGAGAACGGGATCGCGAACGCAAAAATAGCCGTGCAATTTGCAAACAGTCCTGGCCAGCGCACGCACCTGCGAATTATTCAACTCGAACTCGAGCGATCGATGCTCATCGATCGAGCCGATAGGTTCTCGCGTTTCACCATCGCCACGCATGGTTTTACGACCACGGCTCGTTAACACGTTGATTTTTAAGAAAATTCCCGTCAGGTCACACGCGCTGCTTAGAAGCGCTAGTATTGTGGTATATAAATGCATTAATGATACAATCCTGTAGTAAATAAAAATTAAGTGAATTTTAAATAAATTTTCAGTAATTACTTAAAAGAATGTAAATTTCTTAGTTTTATATCATATCAAGACAATTGTTTAAGAGTATATAACAATGATAATAACTATGTATTAGGTAGTAGAAAATGTGCCCTTTAAATTGAATTTTGATAGAATCGAATCGGACAATTCCACGCTGAACTATGACAGCTCAAAGTTTCCTATTTTATAGACAATTATACATACAGCCATGTGTCCTTGCAAGGCCGTTCCAATTCCGAGAAATACTAGTAAACATTGTAGTATTTCCTGGAAGGAACACCCCTCTAAATTCCGTGACATAATAGTAAATATTGTAGTATTTCCTGGTTGGAAAATCCTTCAAAGTTCTTTGAAAAAGAAACATTTATATACATTTTTCATGACGATCGATTTTGATGAAATTTGGTATACAGAGGTTTTTGAGGTCGCTGATTCCAAATCTGAACTCAGAATTTAGAAATTCTAAATGGCGGTTAACCTACGCCTTCCCCAGTCAAAAGGTTAAATTCGCCGTTGCTCTGACGTGTCAGAAACCAATACGAGGTTTTAAAGTTCGACAGATATGAATCCCTTTGAAAATTGAACAGTACGAATAGCCCGAAGGAAGAGTCAAATTTCAATTTTCCCGAGCGCGTCGCCTCCAAGTTAATTGAACGTCTAGAAAATAATACATGGAACCCACTGTCGCGAGGGAACGTTGCCGAGGCAATCGAGAAGTTAAACAACAGCGGAGAATAGAAGTTGACGAGTCGACTGATTGAAAACACGGAACGATGCCTTTAATCTCCGTCGCGCGGAAAATACGGCCGGTTTGGCATTGTAATTAAGAAAGTCTTCGTCCGACATATTAATTAAGTTGGGAAAAACGCTAGGCGACAGGCAGAAAGGCGTGTGCTAATCATGCCGGAGGACGATCCAGAAGAGTCGAAGCTTCGCGCACCATACGGAAATAAGCTTTACTGCGAATCGATATGTCTGCGACGATATCTGAACTCCCCTTTGCATGCAATTGCTCGATTTTTTCGCTTGGGGCTCCCTCGATGATAAGATCATTTTCTCTTCGCGTTCGAGGCACTGAATTTCCGACGAGTTCGCTTCTAACGCGTCTCGGCGATTACGTGACTCGTAGCTCGAACGATTAATCGAACGAAAGCAAACGCTGTCGTTTTCGGAATCGAAACGTTTATCCGTGGCGAGCAGCGGTAAATGCCAGGAGTCGCGCGCCCTTTCAATGCCTATTTGCGCAAAGAAAGATTAAACTTCATACCCCTGTAACCAGGGAGAACGTGCCCGCGCAAATACTAACCGATTTCGATGGATTCCTCGTTGAGCAACCGATGCGATGTTTATTTAAAAGTCGCCAAACCGTTCAGCTGCGCTGTTTCACAACGCGGTAATTTTGCGGTTTGATTAGTTCCGTTAGACGAGCGCCGAGCGGAATTCAGATTGCGTCGAATCCGCGTTAAGCCCATGCTGAATCCACCCTACGCGGTCCGACGCGACTAAGCTTGTTACAGCGAGCTTAGGCGCGCTACAATAGGACTATTCCAGGCGGAGATCGTGCTAAATTTATACTGGTCTTCGATTACACGGCTTGTCACGGTCTTCGAAGGACTCTGTTGCTCAGTTTCTAAACCACCAGTTAACGGTTACTCTAAGTAACTCAATTTCTTCGAATCAGTCTCTTGTCGGTCCCAACAACATCGGTTAATGCTTGGTAGTCGGATATCTCTGCTTCCTTCTGTCAGTCGAGGAATTTCCTTTTACTTGCTGGAACCTTGGAAAAAATGGGCCGATGAGGCACGATTATGAACGAATTTTAAGCGAATTTTAAGCATTTATGACGCAAACTAATACGGGAAGGAAAAACAAATTTAATAAATAAACGTACAGTAACACACCATTGCTTATAAATTCGTATTTCTTCCATACGCTTTGCATATACTTTTTATACCCACGCCCAGTGCACAAAACCCGCAGGCTCATTATAATGAACTGGTATATAATTTCTCTCAGTCGAAAAAACACGGTTTCAAATGAGGCGGCGAAAATATTCGTTAAACCGAGTGCGCGTTTATTATTCCTCTAAAAGAGAAGTTTCGCTTGTGTCCTGAAAATTAATTTGCGTTGTTGTTCGATAACATGAGATTAAATTTTGAAATGCTCTCTACTCGTTTTTTTTTTTAACTCTGACAATCCGACGCGAGTGCCTTAAACTTCTTCTACAATCACTCAAGTATTAATAATTCTTTCACTGCAATATTTGTGGACAATTATTAAAATACTGAATTAATTTTATTGATAGGTTAGCATACGCCTCTTCCATCCAACTACTAAGATATCTTAACCCATTCACTGCTAGGCAAATTTAGAGCGTTTTGCCTTGAACGCCAAGATTTAATACAAATGTGTAATCTAGGTTATTATTTTGATAATAACAAGTGATATTAAATTTATTGTTTTAAAAAGAAAATGTACGATCTTCTTTTGCAATAATTCGTAACTGAAAAGGCTACATATATTTATATAAATAAACATAAATTTATCTCTTGAGTAATTGCAATCAATTTGAATTAGGAGACATCTCGTGAAGGGGTTAACCACATCCCCAAAAACTTGTTTTGCCTTCGTGGAAATATTCTCCCAGCGAATACCTCGTGAAACATCGACTCCGTTTCCCAGAAAGAATCATCGAAAACCGCTTTCCGATGTTCCCACCTGCTATTAGGAAGGCAATGCGTCGTTTCCCTTCATCGATAGCTCTCCGCGAAATACAATTTACCTGAGAATCCCGGAGAACCATCCGCAACGTTTCGCCTACCCCAGGAATAGGGCAGCGTTCTCAATTAATATTGGCTTCCCTCGAAAGACGATACGTCTCCGTGACATTGTTAGACGACGATCGGCCGACGCCGATACACGCGACGTGGATTCCCTCGGCGCGTTTTCTGGCCGCGGTTTTCCGCGCAGGAAATGTGTCTCGTATTTCTCGAAGTTGTTTCATCCCGCCCCGTCGTGTTCCGACCGCCAGCAAATCGTCCCTTAACCGAGATTCGTCGTTCCGCCGCGCGTTTACGACGGCCTTAAAGCTGTCTCGCATAAATTCCTGCCTTTCGGGGAAAGCTCTCCACGGGTCGAACGTCGATGGGAAATTTCGGATCGATCGCGCTGAGGGAACAAATCAACGCCTCGAAGAAATTTCGAAGGAACGACGCCAGACGCCGACCGTAAAACTCCGCGACGCGATTCACCCTCGATGTCGTTTCGAGAAAAATGCCGTGGGTTAGCCGATGATAATGCGCGCTGAAGAATGAGATTATTGGCATTGTTTAAGCGGGAAACGACGAGTTATTAGTTTCCTGGGTCGACGTTAGTGGTTTGGTAACCGTTTCGAGGCTATTTGGAATATTAGACTTGCGGGGGAATGTTCTGTGACTCACACGATTAATCAACTATTTCGTATGCTCGAGAGATCACTTTCTTAGACATATTTATTGATGATGGTTAAAAAAGGCGTTTTAAAAAAACGGCTAGGAAAGCATTTGATCAAGTGTATCTTTGCAAATTGTGCCGAACAAAGTAGATATTATTAATAAATATATCCCTCAGGTATGTTACGATTCTTTGTTTTAATAATAAAGATATACATACACATAAAATACTTGATTAATTGGATGAGTTGCTATGTACGTCTGTAGCCAATTGATTGCGTGCTTGTCTGACATAGAAGGGTCTCTTTCTACTTGCACAACGCACAGTTTCAATGTATGGTCGGACCTATTTTCTCGAGGAACGTGTAGAAGTAGACACGAAATTCTTTTGTGGTATCCTCGCTCCTTTTACTATTCAAAGTTATACAATGTAATTTTAAATGTTTTCACTATCCCCATGTACCTGAAGTAAGATAAGAGTGTATCGATACACCGATATCATTTAAAAGATCCCAGTGGTTTCTGAAATATTAAGAAACAATTTTGTTCCAGAATTTCTGAAGAATTTCGCTATCCTCGACTGTTCCTGGGAAAACAGCTTGCGTCTCTTTATGCGAATCACCCCGTATGTTTATCGAAACGTGGACTTCTTTATTAAATTGCACGCCACCCTCTTCCCGTTTCTGCGACGCTCTCGCAAAATTCGCTGGATTCTCGAGGCTCTCCCTCGAATAGCTAAGCGAGTCACGACTCTGACTTTCATCAAACGAATTCAATTTTAATCATTTCTTTTGCGAACTCGTTGTTTCGCGTCGTTTATGAGCGATTATCGACTGTGATAACGGTCTTCGACAGCAGTGTACTGTAATTGCGCGTTTCGCAAATTTGAACAGTCGTTACGATTAACACGATTACCAACACCAAATAGAATTTCGGGCAGTGTCACGTGAAATTATCTGTTCAGCGACTACAATCTTCCACGCATGGTCTGGGAGAATGATCATGCAATCATATTAAATGCAAACAGATGTTTCTTCTAATGACTCTCTTTCGCACTGTGTTAATTATCATAATTTATAGCAACGCGTAATGACTGTGCGACTAAACTAGACCTGTTTTTGACTAAAGAGGGTTTCGTTTCACTCCTCGTTGATAGATTCATTTACTTATAAAACATTAATTTTCGTTTCTGTAGCGCGCAAAACTAGGTTTTTTACCCGTTGATTATTGAATCGGATAAATAAACGAATGAAAAGGAACGTCGAGGCAACACCTTTTTCATTCCCCTATTTCATCCAGGTGTTTCAGAAATCTTTTTATGAATCCATACCCCGGCAGATTTATGGACTCTAAAAAGTATTCAAGCTGTAAAGATCCTCCACGCGCAATCGTCAAACTTTTTCATACAGAGAGAGCTTCGAATACGCTCCGAAGATTACCTCGATACCTCGAACACTCGTTTACGGGCGCAATCGTAAAAGCTTGCCGGCCGTTTTAAGGGAGACGGCTCTGAACACTTCTCTTCTTTATTTTCGATTCCTCGAAAATTTCCAAAGAAAACGGATCGTCCCCCATGAAACACCCGTGACTTTGTCTTCTTCGTGTATTTTTTGCGATACCCGAGGTGGAGGTGATCATCGTGTTCTTACCTTATTATAAGAAAAGTTTCAAGCAGTCTTCTTAACTCGAACGAGTTAGAGCAGTTCTCCAACTTCCAGACCTCGTACACAGATGCCGTCTCGATAACGTAATAATTCCGTGTTGTGTTTTCAGCTCGGTTTAAAAGTTCCTCGCCGCGAAGGTGTCCCGCGGGAAGGATCCATTCCCAAAAACTGGCAGATTCTCGTGAAACTGCCTCCGCGAGCGACGATCTCCCTGAAAGATATCTTCCTCGTCTGTTTCGTTCTGTATTTCCGCGAGGCTCTTTACCTTGGATTTTTCACGCAAAAATTGAAACGGTCTCGAAGGTGGAAGCGTTACAGTGGAGCTATACCGTGGACCTTCCGAAAAGAATTGTAACATTTCTGGCCCTCGAGCCTGAAAGCCACCAACTCGGAAGATCGTTCCACTGGATCGCCAAGGATTCGAATCACGGGCTTGGTTTATTGGGTTTTGGGGAAGATGGATCACAGGAGTGCGCGATAAAACGAAAAGTCGAGGATGGAATAACGCAAGTGTTCGTATAACGCATTTCGAACATATACCTTTTCTTTTTTCAATGATTCTTTTAAGGTTGCATCAACGTCTAGGTTATTAGCGACCACATTTGGCAACGCGACTAGGTGGTTATGTAAATATCATCCTCATGCATGGACCAGTAAATTGTGTTTGTCCAATGCTTTCGCAAATTTATAGAACTCGCCCGTATCGGCTAGTACTATTATATATCTAAAGTCTTTGAGATATGTAGATTCCTTCCGTCTTTCTCCAATTCCTTGCATTCCTGAATTAAGGAACATTGCATGGTGAGAGTCCTGGTACATTGGTTGCATTTTGGTGGTTCCCATTCTGTAAATATCCCGTTCTTAAATATTTATGTGTCAGGTTGACGTGTCCGATCCTTAATCTTGATAATGTGGTTTGAAGTTTTCTTGCTGGAGGTAATGAAACAGTTTCTCCTGTTGATTTACGTATTCGATGTAGTTTCGTTGTAATTATGGTCTATTGTTGGTGAACACATACTTTGTTAGTGTAGTGTATGACCTAAAGAGTGTTCAGTCTCAGAATTGTTGAATTTTAAATCCTCCTCCAACTCGGTTGAAACGAATTACTTGAAGAATTCAGCAGTCCTAACGTTAAAAATTATCACTAAAAAACCATCAACTTCTTCGTAAATTGATGTTTCGTCCTTGGTTACTAATATATCGAGCCTCCATTTTATTTCGTTGTATCGTATCAATCTCCGTCTTCCGTCTTAATTCCAATTCATCGCGGATGACAATGATGATTATCCTCGGAAGTGTCAGATTTGGTACACCCTTGATTAAGTGTGTTCGTCCCCCAGGAAGTCCTGTAAACTTTGACTATCGGGGATGAAAGGCACGCGGAAATCCCGAAACTTGGCGACTTCTCCCACGAGCGTCTTACACCCAGAAAAAAAAAGGGAGACAAGTCGTTTCCGACACTCCGAGGGGTGGTCCGTTAACGGTCCAAGTTGAAGTCGTAAGCTGCTGGAAGCCTGCTCTTCGCGAGCCTCGCTGGGAAATTCGAAGAAGCCATTTAAAAACTTTCTACTCGAGGATGAAGCTCCTCTCGCCGTGGGTCAAGACCGAAATCGATCGAAGGACGTTGAATCGTATTTTGATGAAGAGAAAAGTTACCTAGCCATTTACATACGGGTGTATAA